CCGAAGCCTGCCTTCTAAAGTTGAGCGAAAGCAGGCCGACGGCGACGACAGGCTGGCGACGACAGGCGACAGGACGGAGGGGTGGGGCAGGGGTGGGGAAGGGGTGGGGAGGGGAGTCAGGAACACCTGACTGCACAAGGCATAGATAGAGGCATGAGCAGCGTGCTTGAGAGGACATCAGGGGACAAGCTCGAGGTGTACACCCTCCAAGCCAAGAAGGCAACTCCTCGTATGGTCCGCGACCTGGTGACCAAGGCTCTTGACGACGCCGAGGTCTTTGTCTTTGGGGAGCTCCTCGCCCTTCCCTCTGTACAGGCGGTACGTATGGGCCATTCCACTTGCTTCACCCCCACCTTGCTTGGCTATCCCCCCTCTCTCCGACCACCTCGCTATGTCTGGGCTCGGCTCGGCTCGGCTCGGCTCGGCCCGGCTCGGCTCGGCCCGGCTCGGCTCGGCCCGGCTCGGCCCGGGCTTCTATCGCATCGCACTCACACTCTACATGATCGGCGTGTGCTGCATATGTACTGACTGGTGGTGGTGGTTGCCTCTGGGTGGATGATGGGATGGACGGGACCGACGACGGGGACGATGGGGGACAATGGGGGACGATGGGGGACGATGGGGGACAATGGGGGACGATGGGGACGGGACGATCGATGCCACATACGCACCTACAGCTGGAAGAGACAGAGCACAAGCCATACCTCGACTTGCTGCATATCTTTGCCTACGGCAACCTCACACAGTATCGCACCTCGGCCGACGAGCTGTCGCTGCCTCAGCTGTCGGAGGCCCAGCTGCGCAAGCTCCGCCAGCTGACCCTGGTCTCGCTCGCTGCAGCATCGCCGACCATCACCTACGACGACATCAAAGCCGCGCTCGAGATGACCGAGACCCGTGCCATGGAGGACCTCATCATTGAGTGCATCTACGCCTCGCTCCTTGTTGGCAAGTTTGACCAGGCCAACTCGGTCCTCGTCATCGAGGCCTGCATGGGCCGCGACATGCGCCCAGCCGAGCTGCCGGAGACCATCGGCCACCTCGAGGCTTGGATCGCCCGCGCCAACGTTGTTCTTGGCGACCTCTCGGTCGCTGCCACCACCGCCGCAGACCAGACCGCCGCCGCCGAGGTCCTCGCTGCCGAGGTCTCCCAGGAGCACGACGAGCGCAAGCACCACATGGAGCTCTCCATCGAGCACGAGGTCCAAGCCCTGGCCGGCAAAGAGGGCTCCGAGCAGGGCCGACGCCAGCGCCGTCGCCTTGCCCCCTCGGCCATGCCGCATCCATCTCACCGTCGCTAGCCTAAATGCACTCCACGGCAACGTTGGCCGAGCTGCGGTAAGGCACTGCCGTGATCGGGCTGCCGAACTGGTCGATGGCCTTTACTCTCCGCGAGCCTGCCCCGCACTGACCCAACCGTGCTCCGTGATGCTCAGCTCAAAACGGCGACAGCTCCTGACGCTCACTCACCCCACTCAACAGACACCCCCCCCACCCCACAAACTCTCCATGAGCGGCACTATGCGGTCTGTGTGCGTACTGACGTCCGGCGGTGACTCGCAGGGAATGAACGCGGCACTGCGCGGAGTGGCCCGGGCGAGCCTGTCGGCAGGCGTCAAGGTCTTTGCGGTGTGGGACGGATACAAGGGACTGGTGGAGGGAGTCATGAGCGAGTTGTCGTGGTTGGACTGCTCCAACATGGTGGCTGCTGGTGGAACAAAGTACGGGACGGCACGATGTGCTCAATTTCGGACGGAAGAAGGCCGCCGCGCCGCTGTCGTCAATCTGGTCAAGGCCAATGCCGGCGCTCTGGTTGTCATCGGCGGCGATGGCTCGCTCACGGGCGCTTCCATCCTCGCTTCCGAGTGGGACGATCATGTGCAAAAGGCGGTGGCAAACGGCGAGCTGCCTCAGGACTTCGCTGCCGCTGCAGAGCTGCATGTCGTCGGCCTCGTTGGCTCGATCGACAACGACATGTTCGGCACTCACTTTACCATCGGCTGCGTCTCGGCCCTCCATCGCATCGTGGAGGCCGTCGACGCCATCCGCGCCACCGCGGCCTCGCACTCGCGGACCTTTGTCGTCGAAGTCATGGGCCGCAACTGCGGCTGGCTGGCGCTCATGGCCGGTCTCGCCACCCAGGCCGACTTTGTCTTTATCCCCGAGTCGCCGCCCTCGCCCTGCACCTCTACCTCGGTTCCCACGGTCTCGACCACCACCGGCGAGCTGCTCGAGTCGTGGGCCGCAACGCTAGTGGCCAAGCTGGCTCGTGTCGAAGGCAAGCGCTGGTCGGTCGTCATTGTCTCCGAGGGCGCTCACGACTGCAAGATGGAGCCCATCACTGCCGCCCGCATCAAGGAGGTCATCGAGGCCGAGCTCGGCCACGACACCCGCATCACCAAGCTAGGCCACGTTCAGCGCGGCGGTAAGCCGGCGGCCTTTGACCGATACATGTCGACCAACCTCGGCATTGCCGCCTTTGACGCCCTGGCAGGCTACGCCGCCGCCGGCCCGCCCGCGCCCGAGCCCGTCTACTTTGGCTGCTCAGACGCCTCGGTCTACCCGGTCGCCCTCCATCCAGCCGTCGCCGCCACCCGCAACGTCCACGACCTCGTTGCCGCCGGCAAGTACGACGACGCCATGGTTGCTCGCGGCGCCGAGTACCCACAGCTCTTCCGCATGCTCCGTACCCTCCTCCGCTCCGACCCGCACGACCGCTCCGCCCACGCCCTGCCTGACTACCGGGTCGCCATCATGCACGTCGGCGCACCGGCGCCCGGCATGAACGCCGCCGTTGCCACCCTGACTCGCATCTTCCTCGACGCCGGTGTCTCCGACGTCGTCGGCATCCACAATGGCTTCGAGGGCCTTGCCAAGGGCAAGACCTGCCCGCTCACTTGGGCCCACGTCCGAGAGTGGGTTCCCGAGGGCGGCGCCAAGCTCGGCACCACCCGCACTCTGCCCGCCGACCTTGCGCCCGCCGGCACCCCGCCGGACAAGGCTCTCGAGTGGCTTATCCCGCACCTCTCGGCCTTTAACGCCCTTGTCATCATCGGCGGTTTCGAGGCTGCGTCGATCCTCGTCGACCTCGCTGATGCCGCGCCGCGCCTCTGGCCGCACCTCTCCGGCATGCTCATTCCGGCCACCATCTCCAACAACGTGCCATGCACCCAGTACTCAATCGGCACAGACACTGCGCTGAACGCCATCGTCGAGGCCTGTGACCGCGTCAAGCAGTCGGCCTACTCTTCAGCCCACAGGGTTTTTGTCGTCGAAGTTATGGGCGCCCGCTGCGGCTTCCTCGCCACCATGGCCGGCCTCGCCGCAGGTGCTGAAAAGGTCTACACCCACGAGCGTGGTATCTCCGCCGCCGCCATCCTCGCCGACGTCAAGGACTTTTGCGCCCGCTTCACTGCCTCAACCGAGTCCAACACCCCACGCTCTGCTCTCGTCATCACCGCCAACGCTGCATCGGAAACGTACACCACCCCGATGATGTGCGCGCTGTACGAGGCCGAGAGTGACGGCATTTTCTCCGTCCGCGCCTCCGTCCTCGGCTACCTGCAGCAAGGCGGCTCGCCGACTCCGCTCGACCGCATCCGCGGCATCGAGCTGGCTGCGGCCTCGGCCGCCCGCATCCTCGAGCTCCGCGACTCCACCGACACTGCCTTTCTGGTCTGCGGTACCTCCGAGTCTGCCGTCATCTTTTCCGACATGTCCTCCCTCGACGGCTCCATGGATCGCGCAAACCGGCGTCCGCGTTGCCAGTGGTGGGACGATCTCGCCACCCGCAACATCTCCATCACCTCAGCCGAGACCGAGCCGCACCCCGACTTTGCCCCCGGCTTTGCCCCCGTCACCAGCGCTGGGCCGTCCGCCCCTTGATGGCGCGAGTAGAGCACAGTAACATCCACACCACGGATTCCCATCTGTTCGATCCCTGCGTCAACTTCCTGACCCGGAACCTTCCGATCACATCGCGCTGCAGTCAGCAGGGGCGGGGGGGCGGGGGGGGGGGGGGGCAGCTGTGGTGCAACTATCAAGTTATTCCCACAAAGGGCTTGTCCACAAAAATTTCAAACTTTTGCGCGCCGCGGGCAAACGCCAACCATTCCGCCCGCTCAACGCGCCCAGAGCCACCACACGCACCTTGCCGACAAGCCGACGACGACATACACCACCTGTCCCCCCCTCCCCTCCCCCCCCCCGCCATCCCTCCCCCACTTATCCCTCTCCACCCACACCCTACTCCGCTTGTACCACCTTCCTTCCACCTGGTCATTCTCCTCGTATCGAGCCATGAGTGCTGACGCTGTCCTCCGGGGCTTGGCTGGTGACACCAAGGCCAGACTGGCGGCACTTGGCCAAGCGCAAAGTTTGTCGCCTAGCGATTGGGAGGAGAGCGCAGAGAGCATGGCGTACTATCTGGAAACGACGATCGGCGATGCCAATCCCAAGGTGGCGAGTCTGTCTGCTAATGTGGTCCTTCTCTTTCTCGCTGCCCTCCCTCCTCTTGCCGCCGAGGCTTATGCCTCTGGCCTGCTACCTCCGCTTACTGCTCGTCTGGGTGATGGCAAGGAGTCGGTTCGCCAGGCTGCACTGGATGCTCTGCTCGGCATGGTGGCGTACAAGAGCCCTCGGCTGGTCTTCACGGCCGTCATCGATGCCATCAAGGCGAACACCCGCTCGTGGCATGTTCGTGAAGAGGGCATGCGGCTGCTAGTTCTTGTCGTTGCCGCCCATGGCCCCGCCGCTGTCGACTTTGCCGCCGCCTTTCCTGTCGTCCTCGAAAACTGCGCCCACTCGCACCCGGCCGTCCGCGAGATGGCTGCCCTTGCGCTGGAGACCTTGTACCGGTACTGGGGCAACTCGCTCCTGACCCAGTTGGCGGACACGGGCCTTATCGGCAGCTCGATTAAGTCCTCGCTCACCGAGCGCCTGGCATCCGTTGAGCTTCACCCGGACGCATCGCTCCACCAGTCGGCGGCACCAAACACGCCCATGCGCGATGCACGGTCGCAGCGCAAGTCGTCGGGCGGCTTCACGCCCTCGCTCTCGCGCTCGCTGCGGACCAAGCGGAAGCGCCGGTCGTCGGCCTCGCGCAAGCCGGGGTGTTCCGAGTCCTCGTCGCGTCCAGGCTCGTCGAGCTCGGCGACCTCACCGCGTGCGGCCTCAGATCGCGCGCTCTCGGCTTCGACGTCGCCGGCCTCAGTCTCATCCGAGACCTCAGAGTCTGCCGCGCCGGTCCGTGTCGGCTCGGACCGCGAGCTTGCCTCGATATTTGACGCCATCCGCACCCCGCTGCTTGATGCCAAGACTGCGGCGTGGACCGATCGCGTTGCAGCGCTCGTCAAGCTTCAGGGCCTGGTCGTTGGCGGCGCGGCACAGTATCCGAGCTTCCACTCGGGCCTGGCCTCGCTCCGGGCGCCGCTCACCGAGCAGCTCTCTGACCTTAGGTCTAAGGTGACCAAGGCGGCGTGCACCACACTTGTTTGCCTTGCCGAGTCGCTCGGCTCAGGCTTTGAGTCGCACGCCGACCACTTTGTGCCTGCCCTCTTCAAGCTCCTTCCCTCCTCCAAGGCGGCCATCTCCGAGCCTGCCGACCATGCCATTCGGGCCATTATCCGCGCTTCGACGCTCTCGGCCGCCATCGGCCGCATCCTCGCTGCGGTCACCGGCAAGTCCACTGTGCTCCGTAAGTACTGTGCTGCGTACATGGTCCTTCTTCTTCAGACATACTCGACCGACGAGCTTCGCTCTCGCGGCGACGCTCTCTGTTCCGCCATCCGCGCAGCCATTGCCGACGCTCTACCCGAGGTCCGTGCTGCCGGTCGCCAGGCCTACTGGGCATTTGAAGCTCATTTTCCGTCGCCAGCTGGCCGTCTTCTTGCCTCTCTTGACAGCGCCACTCAAGGACGCATCGCTGATGCCAAGGGCGACACCACGGCGCTGCGTCCCTCAGCATCGTCGCGGCCAGCATCGACTCCCGGCCGCGCCCGGCCGCGCCCGGGCGTTACCTCGTCCGGCCGCACGGGTGCCGCTTCGTCGTCATCTCGTGCTGTTGCTGACAGCGACGGACCGCCGCCGCGTCCGACCTCAAAGTCGCGCCGCCGCCGTCGATCCATGGGAGTCTTTGCGCATCCGCCGCCGTCCTCGACTGCAGCATCCGATCGAGGCGAGGCAGAGTTGGTCACCGCTCCAGGTCCTGCTACGGCAGCTCCTGTGCCTCAACCCTCTGCCTCGCGGCCTCACCGGGCGTCGAGCTCGTTCCCGGCCGCCGACACTCCGGTGCTCTCGTATGAGGAGCTTGCGGCGCGTCTCAAGTCCAACAGCCGATCGTCCAAGGCGGCGTCGTCATTGCGGAGCAAGCGGTCGATGAGCTCGTCGACACGGGCTGCGCAGGCTGCGCTTGACGCAGCTGCGTCCATCGAGGACCAGCTGGCTCAGGTCCGCTCGCGCTCGTCGCGCCGTTCGGCCACGGCCAGTGGCCCGCTCCTCTCACACGCAGCAGCATCTGCTGCTGCACTCCCGCCACGCCACCAGCCGCCGACCGAACCTTCGCAAGCCGAAGTCGGCACCAGCGCGGGTCCGCCGCGCTCGAGCCAGCGGCGGCAAAAGTCGAAACGTCGCGACTCGTACGATCCGGCCGCTTACGCGGCGACGCCGCAAAAAAAGGAGCCGGCCGAGACAAAGGCGGCAGCTGTGGAACGTGCTCCATCTCAGCCGCAGCCACAGCCTCAGGCGCAGCCGCAGTCGCGGTCGCGGTCGCGGTCGCGGTCGCGGTCTTCGCTCAAGTCGGTCAAGTCACGCCGGGCATCGCTTGCCCGCGGCCTCGGCCCCAGCGGCAAGGAAAATGCTGCTCATCACGCCAACAGTCAGGCCCAGGCTCAGGCTGCGGCGTTGCAGACTGCGGGTAAGAAGGAGAGCGGCGGATCGGAGAAGTCGCGACTGGGCGACATTCTCGGCCGGGCACAGGAGAACGAGTGGGCGGTCCGTGTCGATGCTTTCCGTGAGCTGCGGGCTTTCTTCTCGGACCACGCTTCATGGCTTCAGCGCTCGTCAGGCGGAGTCGGTTCGCGGTATGAGCGGATCATGCGAGTGTTTGTGGCCAAGCTCGACGATCCGCACCACCGAGTGGTCATGGCGGCCATGGCAGCGCTCGGCGCGCTGCTGGAGGCGCACGCCAAGCCGCTGGAGGGCTGGCTCGATCAGGTGATCCCGCTCCTGCTTAAGGCCAAGGCCTCGCCCAAGACCTCGCTGGTGGCAGGCGCGGCGTCGCTCATCGGCCTCATGCCGGGCGCGTTTGAGCTCAGCGTACTCGCCGAGGTCATGACTCGTGCGCTCGGCTCGCCGCTGCCTGTGGTACGGACCGAAGCCATCACCTGGTTTACGCTTCGGCTCCGCAACGCGCGCACCGAGACGCTCAAGGTCTTGGCCGAGCACAGCCTGTGCGCGTCACTCATTGAGAAGCTCATGCCGTGCTGCACCGAGAAGACGCTCACCCTGCGCAAGAGTGCGCGGTCGCTGATGACTGCGGTGAGCGACGGGCTCGACTCGGCCTTTTCCACCGCGCTCGCCAGCCTCCCGCTAGTGCTGCAGTACCAGGTGAGCACCGTGCTTGATGCAGGTGTTGCACCGGCAGTCTCGCCGGCCCACGTTGACATCTCGTCGGACCTGGACGACCTCGATCTCGACACGAGCTTGTCGGCCGAGCCCGAGACTGTGCCGCTGCCGCGGCAGCGGGCGCCCAGCAGAGGTGGGCTCGGCAGGCCTATCGTCGCGGCCATGGCCAACAAGCGGGCGGCACCCAGCCTCTCGGGTGTGCTCAAGGCTTTGATGCGTGATGTGCGCGAGGGAAACCATGCGAACGAGCTTGCGCAGCTGAGCAAGATGGTCGCCAACGGCAGTGTAACCGACTCGTGCTTTGGACAGGTCTTCCTGGTCCTCTCGGACGTGTTGGGCAAGACGCAGTGCGCAGAGACCCGGCTTGGGGCTGTGGCCGCGCTCCACGCGCTCATCACCCACTGCACCCATGCGTTTGAGAACTACCTCAACGTGGGTGTGCAGGCGCTGCTGGAGGCGTATGTGACGGGGCCTGACAGCGGGGCGCACAACGTGGCGGCCGGCGTGGTGAGCGCGCTGAACGATCTGCTTGCGGCGCTGCCAGTGGCGCGGTCGTTTGACGTCCTCACGCCGCTCGTCCTCACCTCGACCAAGAGCTCTGTCCTCTGCCTGGCCATTCGACTGCTGTCGACGGCGGTGGCGCGGGCGGCACCCAAGGTGCTGTTCACCCAGCTGCGGGCCTTTCTGCCCGGCCTTCTCGACGCGTTCCAGAATCCGTCGACAGACGTGCGCAAGGCTGTGGTCTTTACACTTGTGGAAGCGTACATGGTGCTTGGTGAGTCACTGATGCCGTGCCTCTCGGAGCTCTCGTCGTCGCAGCTCAAGCTCGTCACCATCTACATCAACCGTCGGAAGGAGCAGAGTGTCCGCTGACATGCAGGAGGCGGCGACAAATGAACAAGTCATGTATCCTGGTCGTGAGCGCTCATCCGTCTTGGAGACGGAGGACCGAGACGTCAAAGTTGTCGGGCGCGTGCTCGGCCACAAGCGTTGCAAGCGCCATCTTGTTGGCGCGGACGGAGCGGCCGGCAAGCTCGTAGAGCGAGCAGAGGTTGGCAATGAGGGTGGGGTTCATGTTGCGGGCCGGCGCGGCCTTAATGATGTTCTCGATAGACTTGAGCGCCTTGTCGAGATGCCCGGCGTAGAGCCAGCAAAGAGCGCGGTTGTTGGCGGCTGCGGCCTTGGCGCACTCGGACCAGGGCGTGGCACCGCTGTCGTGGCTCTTTTCGACCTCGACGTATAGGTCGAGTGCGCGCTGATAGCAAAGCGCGCCAGCGGCGTACTGGCCCTGGGCAACAGCCACGTACCCGCGGTTGATGTGGGTGATAGGGACCGAGTCGGCCGGAGTGCCGGCGGCATCCAGCAGCTCTTCGGCCTTGGCAAAGACGCAGCCTGCGGCGGCGACGTGGCCGACGGTGAGGTACAGCCTGCCGAGGCCGGCAAGCACGCCGGGGTCTTCGCTGCGGAGCGGGTAGAGCTGGTCCTTGTACAGAGCAATGGCGAGGAGGTGCTCGTCGCGGGCGACGTAGATCGAGATGAGCGAGACAATAACAAGCACCTCGCGCTCCTCCCATAGTTCGAGGCTGGCCTCGCACGGCGCGACGTTGTCGAGGAGGAGGTGCAGCATGTCGCCGGGCGGGGCGAGCAGGACAAGGTCAAGCGGGAGTTCTCTGTGCCCGCTCGCGGCAGCCGACTCGGCGCTGGACCCTGCGGATGCCTCGAGGCGTTCGCGCTTGGACCGGACGTACTCGAGCAGCGAGCAGTGGGCTGCGGCGGCGACCGAGGTCTCTGCGAGATGGAACGCGAGCTGGACGGCGATGAGGCGGACGACAAACGGGAGAAACGAGCCGGTCTCACCGTCTGTGTACTCGTCAGGGTATGACGAGTAGCGGAAGAGCGAGTCTGGGGCGGCCAGCAGCGGTGCGACTTCCGAGTCTGCGATGGTGAACATGCGGAGCTTGACCAAGGCGATGGCGCGCGCAGTCCGCAGCTCGACCATCTCATGGGGCTTGAGCTTGGCATTCTCGTCCATGAGTAGCAGTTGGGTGAGGACAACGACGTCGCCCCAAGCACCGGCTTCTGCCAGAATCTTGACAGAGGCGCGCTCAGGGGCGACCGAGGCCATCGAAGTCCGCTTTGTCCGCGCTGCCGATACGTGCTGGATGCCGAGCTGCCTGCTCAGCTCAGACATAAGCGGGAGGGCGGTGATTGGCGGCGCGAGCGGGAGATCCGCCAGCGACGTCGGCGGCAGGTCACGACGTCCTGGCGCGCCCGCGCCCGCAGCATACCGTCCATGCGACTCTGACGCTTCCGTCGATCGCTCCGAGAGGATAAACTCGGACGAGTCTGCGGTCGATGCCCTCGGCGGGAACGAGAGCCGAGCCGCCTCCTTGGAGCGTGTGCGAACACGGACTCTCCGCCCGTCAGACCCGCCTCCACCTCCGTCTTGGTCCCCGCCCGTCCCCGACCTCCCTCTCGCCTTGCTCTTGCCCTTCTCCTTGTTCTTGGGCGACCGCAGCCGTGCCGCCAGCCGCTGCCGCATGCTCTCCTTGCCACCGCCACCACCGTCTGAGCTCATGCTGTGAGTGGGGTGACGCGAGGTGAGGGTGTATGAGTGTGGTGTGTGTGTGGGGGGGGAGGGGTGTTGGTGAATCGTCGAAGGGGCTGTCACCTGCTGGAGCGGAGCCCATTCGACCACGAGTGGCATGTGATGATGGGTGGCATGTGATGATGGGTGGCATGTGATGATGGGTGGCATGTGATGATGGGTGGCATGTGATGGGTGGCATGTGATGATGGGTGGCATGTGATGATGGGTGGCATGTGATGATGGGTGGCATGTGATGGGTGGCATGTGATGGGTGGCATGTGATGATGGGTGGCAGGTGGTGATGGGTGGCATGTGATGGGTGGCAGGTGGTGATGGGTGGCATGTGATGATGGGTGGCATGTGATGATGGGTGGCAGGTGATGATGGGTGGCAGGTGGTGATGGGTGGTGGTGGGTGATGATGGGTGATGATGGGTGATGATGGGTGATGATGGGTGGTGGTGGGTGATGATGGGTGATGATGGGTGATGATGGGTGGTGACGGGTGATGGATGACAGGTGATGGTTACTGGCAGGTGATGATGGGTGGTCGCTTGGCCCAATGGTTGCTATCGTTCAAACCAATGATTATCGTTTGTGGGATGTGGTACCATTCTGGCGCGCGATCGTTTCCCGCCAAAACCCCCGCCACCACCAAGCCACACACCCCTCCCTTCCCCCCCCCCCCCTTGTGAAAGTAGCAGGGTCTCTGTACATGCTGTTTCCTGCACATTCTCGCTTGCGGGTAGTGGTGGGTGTGGGGAATGGTCGTGGCTTCCCCTCCAGACCAGGCGCCAGCATGTGCTGCATGGCCTCCTTCGAGGGCACCACCCTCTCCACCTCGCCCGTCCCACACCGCCCGTCACCCACATGGGACGAGCAGCTGACATGGTCCATCTCAGTACGCCCCCCCTCCCAACTGCAACTGTCTAGGACATAGCCGATGGCCAAAGGGACACTGCGCACGAGGACGTGACCACCCAAACCGGCGAGACGCCGTGATGTCCATAAGTCTAATCGAGACTACACAAATGAGCATGCCTACATAAGACAGATAACTGGCCTTAAATGTATGATCTGCGAAACAACGTAACCGATGATTTTTTCGCTAAGAATATTATAAAACTCCA